GCAGAGATGCTCTTAAATCCTTACACTTTGTGAATTATTGAGAGATGATTCATAGATTGTTAAAAGGGTTTAAAATAGGACTCGATGTATCTGTATGCTGGGAGGTCCAATTAGTATCAGAATCTCAATAATGTAACTGCAGGCTCGGACTGTTTGTACTGCTGACAGTTGTTGGTGGCCTGCTGGGGTTGGTGAGAGTCGCAGTACTCGGACAGCTGTCCTGTTGTACTTAAGCCAAACAGAAGTGGGGTTGTCTTTCATGGGCAGCAATTATCAGGAGACCAAATAAACAGTATCTACAGCTCCAACCCGATAATCCAACCTCATTTATCACAGTCAGATTCTGGAGAATAAATCAGTGCCGAGTGCATTGGGGATGTATGTGTTTCTGTACTCACATGCACTTGTGATTAAGGAGGCTGTGTAAGATAAAACATGCTATTTCTGTTACTAGAATTGTTGTAAGATGTAATGGATCTGTAAGGTTCTTGCTGTATTGAAACTGTGGAAGGTCAAGTTGTGTCATCATACATTTCTTTATAAACATTTGAAGCTGGTCTGCTGATTGCAGCTCATCTCTGGTCATAGGCCTGGTAAAGTACTGAAAGCAATATCACACAAGTTTGTTGCACCTTACTGGGCTAGTGTGCTGGAAATCAAGCACTATTATTCCCAGAATCAGCACAAAAGTTAAAGTTAAAAAATAACTAGAATTCCCTTGTTTACCTACCTTTTAGATCCAGGTTGACAGAAAACATGGACTAGTTTTCTGTACTGACAAGAGTTACTATTTATTACAAATGAAGTTTCTAACTATAGATAAACCATATGAACCATCAACATATAATTCTGCTAATTAAGTCTCTTAACCCCCTTATAAATTCTCCTCAATACACACATACCAACCTAAAAGAAGGGAGCTAGGGATAGAGGGAAAGACTGGGAAGGCAGTTCAACAGTCTGTGTCCACAGAGTTCGCTGAGATGGTCCTTTTGGTTTGCCAAAATGTGCTGCTCCTTGATTTGCCTTCTCCAGATACTTTCTCTTGTGTTGGGGGCACAGGGTGACTGGTTCACACTTACAAAAGTTTTTGATTTGTCAGTGACAAGCTTACAGTATTGGAACGGGAAAATAAACTGGCAAAAACAGGTCCTGTGATGTCTCATCCCTCTTGGTCCAGAAATGTACTGGTTAAGAAGATTTTGTTCATGTATTTCAAATTTTATTCTTCCTCTCTCGCCCTTCATTTATCATCATAGTCTATGTACTCGGACAGTTAAAATCCAAATTGCCATGGCTTTATAGCTCTTGCACGTCTGATTATACTGCAAATTTACTCGCCTTGAAATTTCCCATTTAGTCTCAAAATATATCCAGCATTTTAATAGCACTTCTGTTACTTCTTGGTTAGAGTCATAGAGACGTAGAGCACGGAAACAGACCTTTCGGTCCACCTCGTCCGTGCCGACCAGATATCCTAAACTAATCTAGTCCCAATTTTCCAGCATTTGGTCCATATCCCTTGAAACCCGCCCCTTTCAGATACCCATCCAGAAGCCTTTCAAATGTTGCAATTGTACTAGCCTCCTCCACTTCTTCTGGCAGCTCATTCCATACACCCACCACCCTCTGCCTGAAAAAGTTGTCATTTGGGTTTCTTTTAAGTCTCACCTTAAGCGTATGCCCTCTAGCTTTGGACTCCGTTACCCTAGGGAAAAGACCTTGTCTATTCACCCTGTCCATGCCTGTCATGGTTTTATAAATTTTTGTAAGGTCACCCCTCAGCCTCTAACGATCCAAGAGAAAGTGGCCCAAGTCTATTCAGCCTCTCCCTATACCTTAAACCCTCCAACCCTGGAAACATCCTTGTAAATATTTTCTGAATCAAGTTTAACAATATCTTTCCTATAGCAGGGAGACTAGAATTGAACGCAGTACTCCAAAAGTGGCCTCACCAAAGTCCTGTACAGCCCTAACATGATCTCCCAACTCTTATACTCAATGCGCTGACCAATAAAGGTAAGCGTGCCAAATGCCACCTTCACTACCTTGTCTGCCTGTGACTCCACTTTCGAGGAACTATGAACCTGCACAACAAGGTCTCTTTTTCAGCAGCTCTTCCCAGGACCTTGCTATTTAAGTGTATAAGTCCTGCCCTGATTTGCCTTACCAAAATGTAGCACCTCACATTTATCCAGATTAAACTCCATCTGCCACTCCTTGGCCCATCTGATCAAGGACCTCTTGTACTCTGAGGTAACGTTCTTCACTGTTCACTAAACCACCAATTTTGGTGTCATCTGTAAACCTATTAACTATAATTTTCGCATCCAAATTATAAGTAAATAGATTATTTCCTTGACACTAGGACACCTTTACCGTCCAGCACTGTAATATTCTACTGAATCAATACTGTTCCTTCCCTGTTTTTCTGGAACACTTTGTATCAGGAACATTTAATACCTAGTTCTGCCTTTCTTTTGAGCCACATATGGATTTATCACTACATCAAATGCCCAGATGCCTGTTTGCATCTGCAGCTTTTTGACCTTATTTATTAGGCTTTGTGCCTTTCCATTTTTGCACCTGTAAACCTGAATTATATGTTACTGTATTTCCTTTTACTCTGATCTTCTGCAGTAGGCGAGGTGATGGCCTAGTAGTATTATCACTGGACTATTAATTCAGAGACCCTGTTCTAGGGACCCGGGTTCGAATCCCGCCATGGCAGATGGTGGAATTTGAATTCGGTAAATGTTCAGTAAAATTAAGAGTGTAGTGATCATCATAAATCCATTGCTGATTGTCCAGAAAAACTAATGTCCTTTAAGGAAGGAAACTGCCATCCTTATCTGGTCTGGCCTGCGTGTCACTCCAGACCCACAGCAATGTGGTTGACTCTGAACTGCCCTCTGGGCAATTAGGGATGGGCAATAAATGATGCCTGGCCAGCGCCACCCACATCCCATGAATGAATAAAGAATAAAAAGAAAACCTTTACTGTTTCTTACCCTTATGCTATCTGTATCTCCAAAAGCATTGTGCACCTTTGTTTCTCCTTTCTAATACTACATCCCTTTGGCAAATTAATTTAACTTCTCTTCCACAATAGCTGACATTTTCCTCTCTTGTATCTCATTTTCTCAGAGGTTATTTGCTGCCTTGCAGTTCTGTCTCTTTTCAAAAGCCAACGCATATCACTTTTTAGTCAAATGTTTTAACCCCACCCAAGATTAATCCACCAGCCTGATTTGGTAATGACTCCTGCTCCATTCAAATCAGTAGAGTTGATGATAGTGAATGTGAACAACCAGTGGAATATCAGAATTGTCCCCACATTGTTTCATGCACCATTTGAAAATTAATGAACATTAGTCTTGCTATTTTTAACATTTGATTCCTTGAGAACAGATATAGCCCAATGTTGCCTTCATTGTCAGAAATTTTGCAGTGTGACAACAGTAATGAAAATTTGTGTTCGATGATAGTCAGTACATGGAGCATGGAGCAAGGAAAATTAGTTCTTTCTGCAGACTGTGTACAATCTCACATTTCATGATCTCTAACTAATCCATTAATCTCTCGAGGGAACATCTGAATGAGTAACCCCTGTATCCAAAGTTGATAGAGATCTCAAATATATTTACCTGTTTCCACATGCTACATTCCTCCATTCTACCTGTAACTAATACATTTCATACAAAATGAGACTCTATCCTGGCTTCCAACAACAAAGGAATCTTTATTTTAACTTGTCTTGGGGTGTGGCATCGCTGGTTAGGCCAACATTCGTTGTCTGTCCCTAATTGCACAGAGGGGTACTTAAGAGTCAACCACATTGCTGTCTACTCTGGAGTCCCGTGTAAACCAGATCAGATAAAGATGGCAGATTCCCTTTCCTCCAGGACATTAGTGAGCCAGATGTGCTGTTAAGGAATTGACAGTTGGTTGCCATTGGGCTAGCTTTTAACTTCAATCTGTTTTTTAAAAAATTCAAACCTCCCCATCCATGTTGATGTTTGAACCCAGGTCTCCAGGACACTTGCCAGGAATTCTGAATTATTCATCCAGTGACATCATCAGCACCACCACTTTCCTTTAATGTGGATAGTCACAATCCCATGTTTATGCTTACATTTGGAGTCATGTTAGAAAGTGTATTTGTAACCTTGAGACTAATTTACAATACTCCTAATTTATGACCCCTGAATACAAGGCTTTACGGTCTGAAAATCTGAGCTTTACAGCATATACCATTGTTGGATAAATATTGTCATGTAAACTTTGACTACTCCAGGTGTAAAATACACCCATTGCAAAGTATTCAGTTTAAAACCAATAATTAAATTTTAGTGCGCTGTCATTTGATCTATAATGTTAAAGATTGTGATCTCTATCTGTAACATCCGTCCTTTCGTATTGTTTACTTAGCTTCAGTGGTGAGTAGCTAAACCAGAGATAGTGGTGCAGTTTTCATTCTGTTCTGAGATAACTGGTCTTAGTTCAGGCAGTGGAAATGAATTTATAGTTGGCCTTAATAATCTTGGGCTAATGAGAAAATCAATCACTAGTTTCTGTCAGTGTAATCTAGCTGTGACACCTGCTGGAATAGTGTTTATGGACGTGGGTAAGAATAGGATCTGATTTGATTGATATGCTTGCTGTCGAGGTTCATAAATGAATAATGAGTATTTGTTTGAGACATATTGAAGAGTAAAACAATGTTAAAATCTGCTAAATAAAAACCAAAAGAACTGCAGGTGCTGTAAACCAGAAACGAAAAAAAGTTGCTGGAAAAGCTCAGCAGATCTGAGGAAGGATCACCTGACCTGAAATGTTAACTTTGATTTCTCTTCACAGATGCTGTCAGACCTGCTGAGCTTTTCCAGCAACTTCTGTTTTTGTTAAAATCTGCTATTTTGATTAATTTTGATTTTTTTTTTTCTTCTTAATATTGAAATGCATTTGAGTTCATGATCACTGGTTTCTTGTGCCTGTAGGTGCAACAGAGAACAAAATATAGGTCACGGAGACTAAATTTGGAGCTTGCAAAGTGTGAAGAAATCTTGAACAAATTAATCAGATCGAGATATAGCTGGCCTTTCAGGTAAGAACAATAAAAGTTGCCACTTTGAAAAATGGTACCCAGGTCCTTTGTGGAAGCCATTCATTTTTGTATAGGGCGTTAAATAAAATTGGTTAAAGTCATTCGGATATTATGTTGAAGGAATGCCTTTGTGGTTGCTTTCTAAGGCAGTATCTCAAGAGAACCAACGAGGGAAAAGGCTGATTTAAATCTGATTTTGTGTAATGATAGTTAATAGTAATTAACATTATAATGTTAAAATTATTTTAATTAACTGTGAAAGATTCCCTAGAAAAAAGTGATCATGATAAAATATACTTTCATATTGAGTTGAAGAGTGATTGTTTAAGTGTGCAACTACAGTTTTAAATTTAAACAAAGGTTACATGGGTATGATTCACAAAAGTAAATTGAGAAATTAGATTTAAAAATTTAGTGGTAGATAAACAATGGCAAACATTTAAAGATATAATTCCTAATTTTCAACAAAAGTACATTCCATCAAGAAATAAAAATTTGACAGGAAAATTGTTCAACCATGGTTTAATAGAAGTGAAGGATGTTTATAAGTAAGAAGATGCTCGTAAAGTTGCCAAAAAATAATAGTAAGCCTGAAGGTTGCAAGAAATTGAAAAAAAGAATCAGAGGATAGCCAAGAAATTGATATGAGGGAGAAAATAGAATGATATTAAAGTAGCAGGAAATACAAAATCAGATTGTTCGCTTTTCAACCAGGAGTTAAGTAGAAACAAAGTAGAGAAAGTAGCAATGGGTCCTCTAGAGCAACGACAAGAAATTATAATTGGAGTAATGAAATTATTATAGGATGATTATAAACTATTCTGGAATAATAACTGGGATTTTAGACAAAAATATATTGTTTTCATGGTAGAAGATTTAAAAAGTGATATTTCAGATGGAAGGGCATAAAGTGCCTAATGACAGTGAAGAAATTGAGGAAAGTAATCTAAGGGAAGCAAATAGCTGGGGAAATTAATAGGATATATACTAGGGTTTTAAAAGAAGAGGTAACTGCAAAAGGTAACTTCAAGCATTCACTAGATTTTAGAACCAGCTAAGTGGATTGCAAGGTAGAAAATGTAATCCTCCTATTGAAGAAAGGAGGGAGAGAGAAAGTTAGAAACTAAGTCTAGCCAGCCTTGTACACTGCTAGGAAAATTCTAGAATCTATTATTTGGTATGTAGTGAAAAGGCATTTATAGATTCATATGGTTATGCAAAGTCAGCACAGTTTTATGAAAGGACAATTCTGCCTGACAAATGTAGTCATTTTTCATGGGGGTAACTATCAAAAGCAATGAATGTAACTTCTCTGGACTTTTGAAACTGAAAAGTACAATTTGTGGCACTGGAAGTTACATAAGATTAGGGTTTCTGGAGTTGAGATAGATGTAGGGGTTTGGACTAAGGATTAGTTCATGCACAGAAAGCCAGTAGGACTGAACTATTTTGTTTTTGGAATGGTATGGTACAGTTAGAAGGGGCACAACAAGGTTGATTAGATTTACTACATGGGAGAATTGTCCTGTGAAAGCAAATGAGTGATGATATCATTGAAATATAAAATGTGCAGCTGGCCAGACAGAATAGATACTGAGAGGATATTTCTTTGGCTGGAGAGTCTAAAATTGGAGAAACCAATCCCAGGAAAGGGTTCCATCATATAGGCGTTATAACCCTGATGTTTCATTGATGTATTGCGAAGAGTGTGTTGGAAATCAAGTCCCACTGTTCTATGAGTTGTCACAAATGTGTAATCTGACAAGTTTTAATCACTGGGATAGTTAATTTCAGACTGTGACCACTATTTATGATATTAAGATTTATTTTCTTCTCTAAAAGGGGTTGCGGGGGGGACAGCAGAGAGGAGAGAGAGCAAGAGAGAGCTTGCTTGCTTGCAGGCTTTTGGAGGTTTCAGTCCAACTGCTTCTCTCCTCAAAATTCTGTGACATACTGCTACTTGGAGCCAAACTAAGCTGTTGTTGGGCAGTTTCTTTTTCATCCATCCTAAAAGTACCTGGTGCCAGTTGGTGTCACAAAAATATCAAATGCAGGTACGTAAAATAAAAACCAATACGTTGACTGTACAGCTCCACTTTTTCCTTCGCATTGTCACTGGTTCATTGTCCGCAAGACAGCAGTCCATACTTCCATTTTCCAGCCTATATTTCAAATAAAGTGAATGTAGTCTTTACATAAGACTCACATGAGAATTTTCCACTCAAAGCGTTGTAAATCTTTGTAATTCTCTGTCCCAATGAAATGTGGATGTTCAGTTATCAACTATATACATAACTGAGGATTGACAGCCTTTTGTCTATTTGTCAGAGGACTGGGGGCTGTGCAAATGGTTGGTTGATGAAAGGGTATTGGAGATAAGGTAGAAAAGTGGATTTGAACTAGAAGATTAGCCATGATTATCTTGATGACAGCGAGCTTAAGGGGACACGCGTTTGGTTTTATTTCTTATAGTTAAGTGTACTCTTGGGCTGAGCCGTTGGTATGATAGTTGGGTATTACTGTTGGACTCTGCACCTTTGTGCTAGGAGGTATCATGTTCCCTATTTTTGATTATTCTATGATTCTTGCCAGTGAGTGATCGAACAGGGTAAGATCCATCTTGACTATGCTGTCCTACGTAAGTAAACAAGAGCTACTTGGAATGAGTACTAGAAGATTACCTGTGCCTGTGGATTGTATCCAGACAAGAGTCTGTGTGTTTAGGAAGTACTTTGTTATATTTACTCTCAAAACCAACAAACGGCAAGATTTGCTGTCTAGTCACACACTTGTCTTTAATTAGGTGACCAAGATGCATTGTGTCAGATCCAGCAGTTACAATGATAGAAATATGGTTGGAGTCAAATGCAGGAGCAAGTGGAACAGAGAAATAAATTCCAGAAGACAATAACCTGCTGTACATTCAGTACAATTTAAACTGAACTTAAGAGAACTTGGTTTAACTTGTAGTTATCTTTTTTCTGTACCGATGTGAGTTTTACAAATTGCTTTTCCCCTTTTCCAGAGAGCCTGTGACAACTGATGAAGCAGAAGATTATTTTGAAATAATCACTAAACCTATGGACTTGCAGACCATGCAGAGCAAGTGTTTATGCAGCACCTACAAAACTGTTGAGGAATTTCTTGAGGACATTAAACTGGTATTTAACAATGCAGAACAGTACAATCAGGAGGGTAGCCAGGTCCTTACCTGTGTAGAAAAAACAGAACGATGTTTCATTGACATGTTGCAAAAACATCTTCCCAACTACAACTATAGACGGGGCAAACCACGAAGAAGTATCCAGAAACGGAAAAGGCTGGTGCAAGTAGAACTAGAGGAGGAAGAGGAGGAGGAGGAGGATGATGAAGAGGAGGAAGACGAGGAGGAGGAGGAGGAGCAGGAGGAGCAGGAAGAAGAAGAAGTAGTAGACGATGAGTATGATGACAGTGATGCAGAATCAAGTGAACATTCCATCCCACCGCGTAAGCGCCGGAAGTGAATTGAGAATAGTTGAGTTTTCTGAATAATGGATGTAGTAATTATTTTGGAAACTGCAGACTTGTTTGTACTTTAAATGTTTACGTTGACTGATTTAAAATATTGGATCAAATACAAAACTTCAACCAAACCTGGACATTTTCATAGGAACACAAAAATGTTGAAGTCTAAAGCTCTTACAGATTTTTTAATACTGTTGTGAAGTTGGGAGATCCTGAGGGCTGAAAGTTCCTTGTTTTGTTGAAAATAGTTGTGAAATTAAGATCGCAGACAAGGAGCTCTGTTGTTCTGATTTTATGACCATAGAGTGGACCTTTCACAAAAAATTCTGCCCCTTGGTATCAGCTTTCAGCAAGAGCTTTCTGATTTGTTCATCATAGCTGTGGAAGTGGTCAATTCAGGAAATTAGACAACCCCTCGAGTGTCGGTCCTTGGTCCTTCTTAATAACACTGCCTCGCTGGAGAGAGTGTACAATTAATGGAAATTCAGCTGATTGCAGGCCAAGGCGTTTCACAGTGCCAGATGACACACATTGCATCACCAGCATCTGTTTTATCCAGCTGTGTTTTAGGTTTGACCATATGATTGAATATGTGCAAAATTATCTCACATTGATCGCAACAGTATTTGTAAATGTACAGCTGTTCTTTATAATAAGGAGATGTATCCAGCCACTTTGAGGAGAATCCCTGCCCTCGAATGTTTTGCCATCTGAAACAGTAAAATGAGCTTTTCATATGAACCACCAGCCATCGTGTAACTTCTGTCACCTGTTTAATTGACTGTGGTCGAGAAGGTATCAGTTGCCTGATGAACATGTGATCTTGTGCAGGATGTTTAGTTCAGAGTCAACTTAGTTTCAAAACTGAACTGTAATCAGTTCTGCATGTAATGAGCAATGGTAACTGGTTTATACACTTAGGCTGTCTATCTTGATTTAGCTGAGGGTCCAACCAAATGGATATTATTGAATAGTACGTTGGGTGTCTCTAGTTTCTTGAAAGATTCTAATTTGCCCTACTCACTAATTGGTGCAGGGTAATAGCACCCAGACTCAATACAGATGCGCTACCACGTTTCATGCTTGTTGGCTGACAACAATTCTGTGTTTGACATATAAGATTCTCTTTTGATCTGCCTGACCATTCTGGCTGACCAAATAGTTCTCATGCAACACCATTGGATTTTTAAACTGAAGAATTGTAAAATACTCCTTTTTGTGCGGAGATTTGTACAGTGCATACAGATATGTAGATCTAACCAGATTAAGATCCTTGTGTTTCAAGTTGTCAAAAAAGTTGTGACACAACTTGAATTTGTTTTCATCTTTGTTACTGTAGTTTGTATAAATAATTCTTATTATTTGAGTATTTGTGAGCAACAAATCCTTCAAGGCCCTTTTCACATCTGCAATTTTTTTTCTTGGAGTGAGGGGGAAGGAAAGCACTGATCTAAAATTTTCTTTGTTTCTTTTTATGAGAGTTTCCCCCTCTTTCCACTTGGCGTTTTATCACCGTTCCCAGTCACACTCAGTTGTGTAGGCAAGTGATGTAGAATAAAACAGTGGAATTTTGACATTGTATATTTTCCCAAATGTCTGTGGTAGTTGTTTGGGGAGGGCTATGCTTGTATTAAAAACATTTTTGGACTTTTAAATAAAAGCAATTACATTTAAAACTTTGCAAAAAAAAAAGTAAGGGTTATGTGTGCCCTGTAACAACAACATCAAGATTACTCACTTTAGTATTTGAACATTTTTTTAAAATGAGTAGCTGCCTGGAGACTAATTGTTTTCACTGGCTGGCAGGAATTGTCTGGCTTTTCTAGATTTTTTTCCACCTCTTTTGAGTTTATCTTGTATGTCAGTGAATACATCTCTCTCTGTCTTTGAGTATTTCTTCTGGCGCCTTCTCCATGTTTCCTTGCTCACTGCCCTGGGCTCACTTTTCTGTTGCTTGCCCTATGTCTTGCTCTCATGCTGTCTTATCTCTGGCATGCTCTCTACTGGTGTTCCCTCTCCCTTTCTTGCTGTCTTCTTCCCTCTGTGGCATGTGCTTTCGCATATGTATGCACGTAATCTTTTGATTTCCATGTTTTTTTTTAAAATTGGGACGTGATATGTTTCTCTATCGTTGTGTGCATCTGTCCCCCTCTGTCAATTGTGTGTATGAGTGTGCCTTTGTTGTTGAGAGACAATACATTTCACGATCCATTTGTCTACATCTACCTACTCCTGTGTCAGCAATCAGACTCCCATACGCATTCTATCTGTAATATGAGATTGCTCCAAAGAGGACCACCTGCCCTCTTTCCTATTTTTCCCCTCTTCACCCCTGTTGAATATGGCACCTGTGATTAGACTCTTATGTAATTGAGTTCTTCCACATAGCAACAGTGAGGACTCTTCAGAAGTACCTCATTAGTGTGAATACTGATGCAACAATGCCCCCTGTTCTTTTAAAAAAAAACTTCCTTCAAGGATAAAGCACTTTAACACTCCATTCTTCACAGGCAATACTCAGCATTGGCACATACAGCCTTAGATATAAAATTTAAATGTGCTATTTCTTGGATAATTATAAAGTGTCATATGTTTTTTGGAGCAAGTCCAAAAGCCTAATCTATCTGGATTTTGTGTTCCCTAACTAACTCTTGTATTGGGAGAGAATGTTGACATGTAACTGAAATAGTTTTTGCATTTTGGTAGACACATGGAGGCCCGCTGAGTATTGGAAATGTGTGAATTTTAGCCTTCTAATTATCTTGAAGATTCAGGATGTCCAAGAATTATGTGCACTGCATTGCTGTATACAGAGAAACCAAAGAAGGCAAGAATTGGAAAAAAAAACAAAGGAATTTAAGAAAGGGAGCATTAATAAACTAATCAAACTTGGAATGAACCCTATTCTGGATTATTTGCATCAGTGTATATTAAAAGAAGAAAGCACTATTACATGTATAAGAAAACTCACTATAAAAGGGAATAGTTCCAGAAGACTCAGCTTTTCATGTGATCCCCACATTTATACATTGGTGGGAAAGATAAGAAAATCCTTATTTAACAATGCCATGAAAAGATCTTTAAGTCAGAATTCGGTGTAGTTAGAGTGGATTTTAAATGTGATAGCAAAGTTTGACCAACTCTTTTGCGGTCGTAGAGTAATACAGCGTGGAAACAGAGCCTTTGGTCCAACTCATCCATGCTGACCAGATATCTTAAACTGATCTAGTCCCATTTACCAGCATTTGGCCCATATCCGTCTAAACCCTTCCCATTCATGTACCCATCCAGATGCCTTTTAAATGTTGTAACTGTACCCACACTCCCTTTGAAGAGGTAATGATGGGTATACACATTTAATATTTTTAGACTTTCAAAAGGAGCGTGATAAGGTGTCACGTTGATTCAGGCTTATGTGGTCAAAGAACAGTAGCAAAGTAGATAGCAAAGTATTTACAAAACCGAAATGGGAGAATAATCCTCCAGTGTTACTGCTATCTCCAATATGAAACCACTATCAAACACATTTTCCTCTCTTTCAGCAGACCCTGGTCCACTTCTCAAACTGTACCCAGCACCACCTGTCCTTCATATTGTGCTTTTCCACACAATTACATATGTCGTACCAGTCCCTTTACCTCCTCACTATCAAAATATTCAAACACATCTTCCAGGTGAAACAACAGTTTTGCTCCTGTATGCTATATTTGCTATTTTCAAAGTGGTCTGTTCTACTTTGGTTAGAGCAAAGGCCGATTGGGTGTCTTGAAACAGCTCTTCAGTCCAGAAACTAGACCCCAAGCTTTTGGTCACCTGTCATTTGGTTCTCCACCTTGATCCCATGCTGCCTTCAGTGATCCAATGCAAGCATAAGGAAGATCATCTTTTGATTTGGCACTTTCAGGCTCTATGGACACTATTGAGTATAACATTTTCTGACAGTAACCTCTGTTCCCATGTTTATCTTCTGTTTTACTCTGTTTCTCTTCAGACAGCAACTCTTCATCATTCTGCATTCGTACTCCTCTAGATTCCCATTTCCCCAGTCCCCTTGAGGTTGGACCACCAACTGGAGTTTAATCTCTCCTACCTTCCACCCATCACAAAACTCTTCCTTTTGTCTCTTACCCCCGAGCTCCACTTATTTCATTTTTTCACTTGCTTCAAATATATTATATCTTTTTATTTCTCCACAGCTGAGCCCTGACCTACTGAGTATTTCCAGCATTTTCGATCTTTTTCAGAATTCCAGCATCTATAATATGTTGCTTTGATAGTTCCCTGAGCTAGGTTCTGAGGGTGCTGGCTAATGTAATGTCAGTTAATTCTTCGTTGATGGGACAGAGTCTTCAATGATTTTGATATTTTTGCTAAAGGAGTTGGTAGCCCACTGGTGTTGAGCAGATTGTTCTGTCATAATTTCTGGAAATAAAGTATTGAATTTGGCACTTTGTGCATATTTGATTTATCAGCTGTTGTCTTATTGTGTCTATAATCTTCCTTGAGTGGAAACATCATAGTTCACACTGAATGAATGAGTTTTTCCCATTTTGCATAACTTTATTACAAGATACACTTTCTATCTCGAGGTAGCAGCCTCATTACAGTGCATCAGCACCGAATTGTAACCTGTGTCCACTTCTCACAAAGTGCAACAAACACCTGGAGTTGTTGCACTGGATTTGATAAACATAACAAGTGTTACGGCTGTGGTCACAGTGTTGAAGTCCCGGCTCCAAGTCATACATTGCACGTGTTTTCTGTAAAATGTGTTCATATACAGCAAAGTGCAGTAGGTTTTTTTTCGCACAACATCTGAAAGCTTTCTGATCATTGTTGTAGACATTTTTTAATTATAAACCGCAAAGACTGCTGATGCTATAAATCAGAAACGAAAACAGATTGCGGGAAAAGCTCAGCAGGTCTGGCAGCATCTGTGGAGACAAATCAGAGTTGATGTTTCTGGTTGAATGACCCGTTTGGAGTTCTGAGGAAGGGTCACTCGACCTGAAATATTAACTCTGATTTTTCTCTGCAGATACTGCCAGACCTGCTGAGCTTTTCCAGCAATTTCTATTTTTGTGCAGACTTTTCCTAGTTAATTTCTGCTACAGTCATAAGGTTTTACACTATGAGGGTGTTGTTTTTGAGCTCTTTGCAAATTAAGGTCCGTTTCCTTATTCCCACCAAAAGTAAGAAAATTGAACATTTAGAAATGTTTGGATGCAGCAGGCTGAACTTTAAGAGACTTTGGGATGAAATAGGTGTTTTGTACCTGCAGGTGGCAGTAGTGGAAACATCGCAACAATTACTAGCTTTAGACTTGTTGCCCAACTAAATGCAATGGGCTTCTAATGATTCAGTTCTGAGGAAGAGTCACCAGACCCGAAACGTTAACTCTGATTTCTCTTCACAGAAGCTGCCAGACCTATTGAGTTTTTCCAGCAACTCCTGTTTTTGTTTCTAACTTACAGCATCCAGTTTGTTTGGTTTTATTAAGTTAGGGGATAGATCAATAGAGACATGGTGGCAGACATGGTTCATAAACTTCAGTAGCCATTTCCTACCATAAGAAAAAATCTAAAGGAAGGACTCTAGTTAACTGAAGAAGTTTGGAAAAGCATCAAACTTAAGGAACAAGCATTAAGGTGTGTGATGGTTAAAAGTATAAGGAACGTCAAAGAATGGCCAAAAGTTCATCGGGGGAAGAAATTAGAATATGAGAGGTAGCTAGCTAGGAATGTAAAAACAGCCAAGTTTTTACAGATGCTTAAAAAGGAAAAAGAATGGGTAAAGTGAATGTTAGTCCTCTGGAGAATGCGAATAGGGATTTAATAGCAAATAATAAGAAAATGGTGGAGGAAATGAATGAATATTTTATTTCCATGTTCACTTAGAGGATTTTGTTTTAATTCATTCATGGGCTGAGGGTGTCGCTGGTTAGGCAAGCATTTATTGCACACTCCTAATTGCCCAGAGGGCAGTTAAGAGTCAACGACATTGCTGTGGGTCTGGAGTCGCATGTAGGCCAGACCAGGTAAGGATGGCAGTTTCCTTCCCTAAAGGACATTAGTGAACCAGATAGGTTTTTCTGACAATGGAATCATGGTCAACTTTGGACTTCCAGGGGTTTTTGTTAGTTGAAATTTGACCCTTTGCCATGGCAGGATTCTCACCTGGGTGCCCAGAACATTATCTGGGTCTCTGGATTAATAGTTCAGCAATAATACTACTAGGCCTTCACCTTCCCCATTTTCCTATGACAAAAGCATTCTAGTAATGGCTGTAAATAAAGAGATTGAAGGGACAAATGTATTTAATGAAATTACAATCGTGGAGGAAGTGGTACTGAGCAAACCTTTGGAGCTGCAGGCTGATAGGTCTCCAGGTCCAGACGGACATCATCCTAGGGTCTTAAAAGAGGTTGCAAAGGAGATTGTGGATGGGTTGGTGTCAATTTTCTAAAATTCCCTTGATTCGGAACAGGTTCGATTGGACTGGAGTGTAGGAAATATAATGCCTGTATTCAGGAAGGGAGGGAGGCTGGAAATGGGAAACTATATTCCATTTAGTATAATGTTTGTCATGGGTAATGTTTTAGAATCAATCATTTAAGAAAGTATAGTTGCACACTTAGAAAAATGCAAGGTAATCGGGAAGTATCAGCATGGTTTTGTCAAAGGGGAATCCTGTTTAACTCATTTATTGGAGTTCTTTGTAGGAATAACATCCATTGTAAATGAAGGGGAGACTACATATGTACATTGTTTTTGATTTCCAGAGTGCAATTAATAAGTTGCCACATCAAAGGTTATTATTGAAAATAAAAGCTAATAGTTGTAGGGGTTCTGATATTTGTTTGGAGGTAGGATTGGCTGGCAGAAAACAAAGTATGCAGAAATGTGTCTTTGATTGGCAGGATGTGATGAGTGGGGTCCTGCAGGAGTGCAGCCTCAAGATTTTAGAGTTTACATCAATGACTTAGATGAGAGGAGCGAAGGCATGTCAACTAAATTCATAGATGATGCCCAGATAGGTAGCAAAGTTTCTGCAATTCTTTTGATTTTTTTTTTAGGTAGCAAAGTATGTTGTGAAGGAAACCTAAAGATGTTGTAGACGGGTAGAAATAGGTTGAGTGCATGAGCAAGAAATTGGCAGATGAAGTTTTTCACTTTGGCAGGATGAATTAAAAACAAAGCAGAGTATTAGCAAACAACTGCAAAGATCTGAAGTGCAGAGGGATTGGATATTCTGGCACAAGAGTTGCAAGAGGTTAGAATGCAGGTACAGCATATATTTAAGAAGGCTAATGAGATTGTCTCTTTGTTACTAGAGGTATTGAGCGTAAAATAAGGATTTTATACTTCTATTTTACAGGGCATTGGTGAGACTACATCTTGAATACTGAGCACAGTTTTGGTCTCCTTGTTTAAAGAAGGATGTAAACGCATTGGATGTGGGTCAGACAAGGTTTACTAGATTGGTGCTTGGAATGAGAAGCTTACTTTATGTGGATAGGTTTAACAGTCTGGGTGCATTTCCACTGGAGCTCAAGAGTGAGGGGTGACTTGATTGAAGAATATAAGATTCTGAATGGTCTTGACAAGGTGTGTGTGAAAAGGGCGTTTCCACTTGTGTGTGAGTCCTGAACAAGGGACACTGTTCTAGTATTTGGGGTCACGGTTTAAGACAGAGATGAGAAGAATTCTTTTTCTTTCCATCGGTTGTGTAATTATGGAACTCTCTCACAGAAGGTAGGGGTTGTGTATCATTGAATATTTTTGAAACGGGTGGATAGGTTCTTGTCAGGTAACGGAATTGAGAATTATTGGGAGGTAGATGGGAATGTAGTATTCTAAACACAAACACATCAGCCATGATTTTAATGTATGGCAGAGTAAGCACACAGAACTGAATGGTCTATTTCTCTGATTTCATCAGTCTGTATGGATGTATTTAAATTTGGCTCCCCCCACATAGTGGCCAGCTGCTCTACATACAGTCCAATCATTGGAAATGCTTATTATTTCACAACTATCCAAGTATCTGCTAATTTTCTCTAAGTATTATCACTGAACACTCATCCATTGTCAGCATTAACGTGACTGGCCTGATTCAGTTCTGTGCTAATAGGGATCAAATCAGTGCTAATAGCCTGGGATTCAGTCCCATTCTAGCTGAGTAAGATTTTGGGACATATCTCCTTGACTTCCCTGTGGTGGAGATTGTGATGCTCTGGGTCAGAATGGCCTTTGGTCAGAGACTTCACGGAGTGGAAGTATTTCATAAACAGTGAGAAATTAGGAATTTGAATGGAGCACAACTAGAAAGGTGATTGGAATGCTATCTGTTGCCTTTAGGGATCTGCAGTGCAAAGTGGAGGAAGTTATGCTTCAGTTCTGATATGGCCTTGTTTAGACCACATTTAGCGTGCTGTGCTATTGTTTGAGAATCAGACCTTGGAAGATAACATTAGGTCGGAGCTGGCTTGGCAAAGTTTCCCTAGAATTATATTGGGGCTGAAGACAGGTCACATATACATCTATTCCCTTGAGTTCAGATGACTGAAGAGTAATTCTGAGCAAAGGTATTTATCATAATTAAAGTTATTGTGCAAATACAGAAAAAATATTTCTTCTGGTAGGACAATCACTAACAAAATGACATAATCTAATATTATTGGTAGACATTTCAGTGATGAAAGTAGAAAACACTTTCATATAAGTGTAGTATAAAATTAAACCCTGATCCCCCCCCCCCCACCCCAAAAAAAAATAGAATGCTGGCTGAATTGAAATTTTCACGGTTATGGTCAACAGACTTTTGTGAGGTAAGGATATTAAAGGATAAGGAACAAAGGTGAAGGGTACTGCGGTACAGATCAAACATGATCTAAAATGTCCATCTTCTGAACGCAAGACACTGAATTTTAAATATGGTCAGATGTAATATTTTGTGATTTAGTACCTCAATGACATTCTATGCATTGAAAGAATGTATGTTTAAAATGAATCATTAGATTAACTTTTTAAGGTATTGTTTAAGATTCTACCTTTCTCTTGGCTGGATTAGGATTTCTAAGCATGGGCTAACTCATTCCTGGCACTAAACACAATGCACTTTCCTGCTGCCAGTAATTATGAGCATAGTTCTAAAAATTGTGCCTTTCCAAAAAAAAGCAAAGCAAAATGTGGGAGTGTCAATTCTCTGATGCGAGCTTCTAAAGAGATTGTGCATAAAACAGCTCTTTAAACAATACATGTGTTTCTGCTTACATTTATGCATCCAACTAACTGCTAGGTGTTACTTTGATCTCTGAGCCAAAGTGATGTTTGCCTGGAGCTGTCAGCTCTATAATGATAATGTTTTAGCAAAAAACCCTCCATTGCTCACTAATGAGGTGGCCGCTGCACAAGTGGAACAAACATATATTCTCTACAGTAGATCATGTTTAGATGAAGCATTGTG